TAAGAAATGGTCTGTTTCAAGATGCGAAAAATTGCATTCCATCACAATTAATGGGAAATAATGCCCATTAATCCAGTTATACAGAATAAAGAGCAGTAACTAGAGAACATTGTTAAACGTAAAAACAGCTAGAAAAATCCGAAGAATATATGAACCTAAAGCAAAATCACATATAGTGGGAAATTAAACATCTCGGAGAAATGATATACATACTCTGTATGACTATTTACTTACCCGAAGCAGGACCCTGAAGAAATTTTGAGTATCAGTTGCAAACGATACGACAGCACAGAATTTCGCTCGACAGGAGAACAGATTAACGTTAAATAAGGCGTAACAGAGTGAGCACGCTCTAAGAAGGCGGAAATCCGACAGCAAGGTAGTGAGAGAAACTAAAGTACACTAAGATACAGTGTTTACGAATGTATTTCAGAAAATTAAATAAATCTAAGATACCGTATTTTCAGTACGACAAGGTGCACTGGAATATAAGGCGCGCTGTAAAGGAATGCTTCATTTTCGAACTGGAATATATAACGCATTAAGGGAAACAAAGCAGTCAGATAAGTAAATCAGTCAAGCTTTATTAAACATATTCACAGTAATGAGCTATTTTGTGCTACATACATCCACTGTAATGTTATGGGGCAGCACAGTTTGTAATACTCCGTGACGCTTCTAAATACGGATTATCGCAGCGCCGTGTACCTCACCAAATCGGTTCGAGGATAGTATACCAACTAAAGGCGGCTTAAAAACCGGAAAGTACGAGAAATACCGCTTGCGACCCTGTACAACTAGAATCATGGTTAGCAATATAAGTAAATTTCCCCGTTCTGCCCCTGGATTCTATCATATTGCAATAAATGAAAGGTTTCCGTGCAAAATCTGGTCTCAGCAAACTTAAATGGATATTATCAAAACTTTAAGTTTCCAGTCTGTCTTCCAGGATCGAATTTCTCCCGAGTTGATCCTATTAACTTTCACAGTTCGAATAATCATCGATACTAGTAGACAGTGCACAGCACCTCGGTGCCCTTATTTTATTTTCTTGCTTAAAAACACGGGGTCAAATCATTTCTAACTACAAACCAGCGCCAGTACCATCAGTACCGAATCTTGCTTAACTTTCTTTACCGCGCGAGATACGGTGCGGGGGAAATAGCTTTGTATGTAAATTTGATATATATGCACATTAGAGTTGCTTGTATAGAAAAGTAAACAGATAACAGGATATACCCTGACGTGATACTAATGTACCACATTGCAAGATACGTCAAGCTCCACGAACCGTCACACCATTAATTGTTACGGTATGACCTAGCAGCACAGGCATATGTATCCTTATTTAAATACATGGGCGCGGTTACTTTGAATCTGTTCAAATATGGTGGGAGTGCTGTGTACTCGCAGTCCATGGGCAAGAGTTTTGTCCCTTAATTGCTAGCAGCCTTCAACTCTACCCTCACCTTTAGACAGTGGTGCGTAACAGTTGCACTCCCTGTAATAACTTACAGTGTAATTCCGTCCCTGTCGTTGCTAGATTTATTTATGATAGTTATATATATCCTTTCATGATTATTTCTCGTGTATATATAATGAACACTTGTTTGTTGAAATTTCCACTGGCTTTCCTTCCTATGGACTTCTGCTATAAGTATAGAGCATTCTAGTGGATTTATAGTGAGGACGCAGTCAGAAGT